ATGGAACTTAATTTATGGAGAGAACCATTGGATGGAACTTAATTTATAGAATCTTTGCAAGGAACTTAATTTATGGAGAGAACCATTGGAAGGAACTTAATTTATGAAGAGAACCATTGGAGGGAACTTAATTTATGGAGGGAACTATTGGATGGAACTTAATTTATGGAGAGAACCATTGTATGGAACTTAATTTATGGAGAGAACCATTGGATGGAACTTAATTTATGGAAAGAACCATTGGGTGGAAATAAATTTATGGAGAGAACCATTGGGTGGAAATAAATTTATGCAGAGAATTTCGAGAATTAGACACCAAAAGTTCAAAATGATTTTCATGCAAAGGCATACCTTTCATGAAAGCCCCTTTTAAAAAATAGACATACTTGATCCAAATTCGATAAGTTTGATTTCTGTCAATTTATTTTAGTTTTACTTCACTACTACTTTCCCCTATGAAATATTAAAAATTATAACTTTTTACTATATAAGAGAGCAAATTTTGTATACCAATTTAAAATGTCTAAATACTGTTACAGAGCGAGCTTTGTCGATGACGAAGTTGACTGATCCAAGCCATTTCAATAGCGTTCACCCTTGAATCAAAACACGTCACTGTATCAAGTTTCATAAAAATATCTCAAAAATTGCGACTTACAAATTGAACGTTAACTTATATGGATAGACATCGGACGGACGGACAGACTTAGATTCAGAAAATGGTTTTGAATTGATCGCTATAACAAAAGGTGCGTCTATCTTAAGCTCTTCCGCATGTTACATATGTCCTCAATAACTTAGTATAGCCTGTCCGACTATGATAAAAATAAGAAGCGTGTTAGTCAATGTGGTGTAGGGTATTTCATGGTCGGCCTTGCCTAACTATACCATTCTCAATTGTTTTTATTCAGACTTGATGTGCTTATCGGTGTCTATTACATATAAGAATGCACAGCAGGGGTGATACGCGTCTTGCCTTTGGCAGTACCGACCTTCCATGATTATTGAATTTCATTATTTTACCAAAGTTTATTTCACTAGCAGTATTTTGGCTAACATCTGATCAGGCGTATGGGCGAATTGTTTATCGTTACAAGTGGAAAAGCAAAACAATTTTCACAACATTTTCGCGTTTTTCTTTTGCACGTCTGCACTTACAGGTATACATTTCGGCCAAGTAAAATATCTCGACTAGTAAAATATTAGACTATACTCAAATGCAATCCAACCGTCTTTGCTTAACTTCGTGCCGCTTAAGGTTAAATGTCCCTCGAGTAGAGTTCCCCCAATACAAACAAAGCAATGGGACATTTATCACATGCCGCCATCTTTCCGAACTCGCTTATTGTTATTACAGATAATTTAGTCTGAGAAATGTTATCAGCTTTATTGAAATTTGAAACAAAAAATCATCTTTAAATCAAAGGCTGAGAACGTAATAAATATATAAATTTATTTTTCAGTTTACATGTATATATGTTGTTCTTAAAAAAAATATATTTATTCTAAATTGAAATCTATAAAGATATCATTGAATCATTTCTCATCGATATCGGATTTAGCAAATTGTATTTTCGACATGATATTCGTGCAGTAGGCAATCACGGTCATGCCATCAACATTGGGAAAGCATTGACCGAGAAACTCTAATAGCATGGGATTTTTTTTAACAACTACAGCATACTCTTCATACGAAATCGCACCATCACGGTCGATATCAAATTTTTTGAAAAGCACTTCAAGCATATCCTGCGCATGACATTGAGATGATGTTTTTAATTGCATTCAATTCGTTAGCGTAAATTGGGAGAGAAAACTTACAGCACGTAATTCATTGACTTCGTCCTCATCGTCGCCCATGAAGAATTTCGAAACACCCAAAGTCACAGCTTCACGATTCAAATATCCGGTATTAGTTGCATTATAGATCTTTAAGAAGAAAAGATTTTCTTCTTCTTCTTTTTTTTTTTTTCTATATTTTTTTGATCGATTTTTTTCGCTTACCTGAAAAGTAAATTTGATTTTTTCTTCCAATTTATTGGACATGAAAACTGAAAACAATTTCACCCAAGCAATCGGATTAATATCCTTTTTCGCATTCGTTGTTATTAAAGATAATATGCGTTGGATAATTTGCAAATCGTATATTTTAAATAATACTAAAAATAAATGATGAAATTGTGCATTGCTCATCATTTTGGCTTTCGGTCCATTCATTAAAACGAATTTATGATAGACCAATAGGATGCTTTGCACTTCAATTTCATTAAATTGCGTTGTCTTTACCATTTGTTTGATAAGGTCATGATAAATATTGCTGAACCTCGTATTCTGTACATCGTCCAATGTCTCATCCAATTTATTCATCCTTCAATGCTTATGCGTTCCTTCGTTATGCTATTCCTTCTGTCTTTCTTTTTCTTCCTATAATCGTGTATTTTATTTGCCTTGTGAATATGAATTTCTGATAATGATATATGTTTAGTGCGAAGAACAATCGTTTAAACGATAACTAAATAGTTTTTTAAATCGTCACGACTTTCAAATACATTCTGACAAGACAAGACACAAATTGCTTTAAAACTTGCTTAGTTCGAGTAAACAAAGGGCAAAGTGAACAGAAAAAAAATTATTGAATACATGGAAAAATTAATAGCAAACAGGACAGACGAAAGCTTATTCCAAAAATGTAAATATGAAACCGGAATTTTTTCATAGACAACATCTAACATCAAGTGTTGATGAACTACATGCGTAAAGTCGTACTTTTTTATATAAATAGTTACAATACCGACATATAACAAAGGATATGAAAAGTGAATATGCTTGAAGGGGCGCAGATGTAGAAATTCATGGACAAATCCAGGCGTGGGATCCACATTGACTGCAACACTGAATCGCCTTGCCTAGGAAGACAGGAAAAGAGGTGGGCAATATGTTCACATAGTGTTGGGCCGCAAATACTTTTCACCATTTTCGTGCAATATATTTATATGTGTTTTCTATACAAAAATTTCGGTTTCATATGGACGCACCTGATATTTTCTACACGCCACTTGGGGCATTGGGGTATATCAAGTTTATGCGGATGTCTACGACATCCAGAAAGACTTAATCTAGATGCTCGATTCAGAATCACTTTTCGGATCCAGGCTTGTCTCGCTTTGTATCCATGTCCTCTCCGTCTTGTTTTCTTGTGTTCAATTCATAGGTCGCAATTTTTGCGGTACTTCGATAAAATATGGCACATTGGCGTACTTTGGGCCAAGGACGAAAGATACTGAAACTTATACGAAATGAACCACGTGTTCAACCATTTACCATATAAAGTCTCATTCTGCATAGTAGTTGTATGCGTAGCTGGAAGATAGTGTGGAGTATTTAATGATGCAATGTGACCCACCAATCAGAATCACTTGGTAAAGTTAGGTTCCGCAAATCAAAACTCTTAAGATATTTCGATGTTACATAGGAAGTTTTGGACCAAGGAGCAACGTTATTGAAAATAGTTGGCAACATTGCAAATTTTCGAAATTTTTCGCAAAAATGACTAAGCAAACATTTGACCATTGCGAGGATCAAATGGGTCGCTTTTTTGAGCTAAATTTGGATGGTGTCAATTAACACTTTGGACACCGTCCAATATGAGGTCTTTTATAAAAAGTATTCCTTTACCTTTTTGATGGCCAGCTATTCTTATGTTCCTACGATCACAGTAAATCAATACAAAACCAAGGTACACAAGGTACCATCTTCAGTTTTAATGTTAAAATAAGATAAAACAAAAGAAAATCTTCTTCTGTAAACCTGCCATGCCGAGGCTGCCCTACGTTAAAACACAACAAAAAAAGCAAGTTTCTGGGATACAGCAGAGGCTTGACTACTTTGTCTGTTTAGCCAAAGGTTCTTCATCGTTAAAAATTTGCAAAAAAAATTGTTTTTTTCTCCGGATGAAGCATACCCAAGTTTTATTCAAAGCCTAATACGAATCCTAAACGAATTATAGGAAACGGGATAGATTAAGGCAAGTGAATCATCTGTTGTTCTGAAGAGAAAGAAGAGTAACAGATAGTACTCGAAGGATGATGCCATAGAACGCTAGGGGAAAACCCACGTAGTTGAAAGTTAGCTTTAGGCGTTTCTGCCGTACAGCTGCGTACAAAAGCGAAAGATGAACTTTTCATACGTGATTACCTATGAGGTTTGTTTTTACATTCAATTAATTACTGGTTTTCTTATTGAAATACTATTTCCCCGCAAATTTATTCTTTTTAAAGAAATTATGAATATTGCCTCTTTGTATTTTTCTTCTTCTTTTTTTTTTTTTTTTAATAATGCCAACAAGACAAGTTGGAAAAAAAAATTAATAAATTAATCATAGATTTATTTATGACATATTAATATGCAGTTCTTTCAGATGACATCAATGTCTATTTTAGGATACGCTTGATAAAAAGACGGCAAGTCATTAATTAATAAGAAATTAATAAAATGCACTCACCAATAGAGAGAAGAAAGAACTTATATGCAATTTCAGATCAAATCTTCTCCTGCTCAATATTTATCTTTTTCTTTTAAATAATTAAAAGCGCTGCGAAAATGATGCATGTAATGTAATGGCATTATCTATTTTGAGCTATGCCTCCAATACAGCCAAAAACCAAAAATTACATGATAAATGTATCAACCTATCAATAAGTAAACCCACAGCTGGTGT